AAAAAAAAAAAAAAAAAAGAAAAAAGAAAAAAAGGAATCACTATTAATTTTTTTTTTTTCGAGACAGTGTTTCACTTTTGTCACCCTTGGTAGAGTGCTGGGGGCTCAACCACCTCAAACTCCGGCTCAAGCAATTCTCTTGCCTCAGCCTTCCGAGTAGTTGGGACTACAGGTGCCCAATACAATGCCTGGCTATTTTTAGAGACGAGGTCTCACTCTGGCTCAGGCTAGTCCACCTGTGAGATTGTGAGCCACCATACCCAGCCTAATTTTTTTTTTAAGATGAAACAACAGTATTGTTTTTATGGTGAACAAATTTTTAAGAGTCCTTATTGCTTAGATCACAGTTTATCTCCTGGGTTGTTCTCTGGGATGGGGCCATTCTGGGCCCTGCAGGGTACTGAGCAACATCCCTAACCCCACTCATCCCATGCAAGGGGCACCCCACGGTGTGACAATCACAGATGTCCCAGGACATCACCCAGGGTCCCCTGGTGGGGGGGAGGGGCGGGTGCAGAACTGCCCTGTTTTTATTTTTTTTGAGACAGAGCCTCAAGCTGTCCCCTTGGGTAGAGTGCTGTGGCATCACAGCTCACAGCACCTCCAACTCCTGGGCTCAAGCGAGTCTCCTGCCTCCGCCTCCCAAGTAGCTGGGACCACAGCTACCCGGCTATTTTTTGGTTACAGCCGTCATTGGTGTTTTGGCAGGCCCAGGCTGGATTCAAACCTGCCACCTTAGGTGTATGTGGCTGGCACCTTAGCCACTTGAGCCACAGGCACCGAGCCTGTTTAGTTTTATTTTTTGAGACAGAGTCTCACTATGTTGCCCTCAGTAGAGTGCCATGGTGTCACAGCTCACAGCAACCTCAAACTCTTGAGCTTAAGTGATCCTCTTGCCTCAGCCTCCCAAGTAGCTGGGACTACAGGTGCCTGCCACAATGCCTGGTAATTTTTTTTTTTGTAGTTGTCATTTTTCTTTAGCAGGCCTGGGCCAGGTTCGATCTGGCTAGCCACGAGTATGTGGCTGGCACCCTAACCACTGAGCAATGGCTGCTGAGCCAAAACTGCCCTGTTTTCTTGAGACAGAGCCTCAAGCTGTTGCCCTGGGTAGAGGGCCGTGGCATCACAGCTCACAGCAACGTCTAATTCCTGTGCTCAAGTGATTCTCCTGCCTCAGTCTCCCAAGCAGCTGGGACTACAGGTGCCTGCCACAATGCCCAGCTATTTTTTTGGGTTGCAGCCATCGTTGTTTGGCAGGCCTGGACTGGACTCGAACCCCCAGCTCAAGTGTTTGTGGTTGGCACCTTAGCCACTTGAGCCATAGATGCAGAGCAAGAACTGCCCTGTTTTAAAGTTTATGGTCAAAAATGTTTAAGGTTTTTTTTTTTTTTTTTTGCCCAAAAAAATCTCTGTGGCGAGATGGGCTCATAAGGATTCACTGTTGCTATAAATATTTTTTCTGTATCTCTATGAAAATTTTCACAATTGTATGGTATGATTCTGAGTTTGACAAGGTCTTTCTTGTGCAGACGCCTACATGCCCAGTGGGGCCCTAACACTCTAAATATGAACTGCAACAGTGTGCCTGCATTTCACCAAGCTAAAGTTCAAGATCACAGACAACCTTTAATTTTTTATTTTTCGACTTAGGTTGGGTTTCTTGATTATGGCCCGGGAATGGAAGGACACCTGTACCCTGAGTCACTTCATGCACCTCTGGCTCCCACAGCCCCCAGCTCACATGGTGGCACCATCAGCTTACCTCAGGGAGCAGTACATCCAGGACAAAGCGGATTCTGTCGCTGTGGGCACGTGTCAGCACTGGGCCACCCAGCTCTTGGCAGAAGCCCTGCAAGTACTTCACCACCAGGTCCAGTTGTTCTTCGTCCTCTAGGTAGGTCTCCACACAGGTCATGGCCTGGCTTGAGCTCAGGAAGGTCTCAAGCCAGCGTGATGGCCGCCGGCTCTTCAGGATGGCCCGCAGGTGGCTCTCTGTGCCCCTGGCCTTCACGATGTACTCCACCAGCTTCTGGTTAGCTCGGTCGCGGGCAGCCCTCGAGCGGTCAGGGAGTACCTTCCTGCAGGGCAGCCTCCGCCCCAAAGCACTCACTGCCTCTGGCTCTTCGGAGCTCCCCTTGCTCAGCTGTGGAAACCGGGTCCCCAGAGCATCCTGCTGGATGGACTTCCGGACAGGGTAGCCTGCAAAGGAAGCAGTGGGGACCAGTGCTAGGGGACAGGTCTCTGCCAGCTTCCCTCCATGACCACACTTGGGGCCCAAACCTGAGGCTGGGGGTCCAGGACCTAGGAGAGCCCTAGATACCTCAGTTTCCCTGAGAGCCAATGGGGAAGAGTCTCCATATCCTGAAGGCTCTTCCCTTGGGAGGATCCCTAACATTTTCCCATTAACTGGGCCCTTTAGCCAAATTTAACCCTAAAGAGTAGAGCACCACACACACACTGACGAGGAACAATTCAGTTATTTCCATTCCTTTAACAGCTGAGAGGACTGGAGAACGCTGTATGTCAGTAACCGACATTCAACACAGGCAATAAGAAAGGCTAGTCAAATGCTTCAGCATTCAGATAACCTTCTTTTTTCTTTTTTGAGACGGAGCTTCAAGCTGTCCCCCTTGGTAGAGTGCTGTGGCATCACGCTCACAGCAACCTCCAACTCCTGGGCTCAAGCAAGTCTCCTGCCTCTGCCTCCCAAGTAGCTGGGACCACAGGCGCCTACCACAATGCCCGGCCATTTTTTTTGGTTGCAGCCGTCACTGTTATTTGGCGGGTCCGGGCTGGATACAAACCCACCACCTTAGGTTTATTTGGCTGGTGCCTTAGCCACTTCAGCCATAGGCCCCAAGCCAGATAACCTTCTTAAAATACAGGATGAGAATGGCCTCCAGCTGAGGGGAGAATAGGGTGGAGTAGCTCCCAGGTCAGAGTGGGTGTGGACGCCCCCGTGGCCCAATATATCCCCTCCCACAGCTTATGACATAGAGACTGTTTCCTCAAGAGATGAAGAACAGATTGCACTTTCAAAGACATGTCTGCAACTTACTTATGTCAGCAGCATAATACTCCAGGAAAGAGCCAGAAAAAGACCCACAACCTGCAGAGGGAGGAGGGGAGAGCAGCACTCAGGAGACTCTGGAAACATTCTCCAGGCCCTTCCTAGGACTTTCTAGTCTGAGCCTGACCCAGACACCTCTTCCCATGAGCAGGTAATGGGGTCACAGTCCTGCTCCCAGGAAAGAGCACCTGGGCACGAGTCTTCTGGGATGACCTGAGGATATAACACATTTTACATTTATTTACGTTTCATAAATTCCCAACCACCAGACTTGGGACGTATGAAAACCAACTCTCTCACTGAAAGGAAATCCTGTCTCTGCTAGTTGTGTCCACCCGCCCAGGTGCCTGCCCTCCACCTGCCTCCCGGTTCTTGGTTGTGCAGAGCCTCCACGCACCTAACCGGACCCTGTAGTCAGTGATGAGGGACACACACCAGCCGATGGCCTGGTCAAAGTCCTCCCTGGCTTTGTTCTGCAATGAGATCAACAGTAGGCATCAGTGTACAGCAGTGGGGAGTATCCAGGTACCCATGTTCAGAGGCCACACATGGAGCCCTGGACCTGACCTCTGAGCCTCACTTGTTAAGGCCCTGGCAGAAATGCACCAGGCCCAAGTCTGGGTCCCAAGCCAAAATGTGGTCACCAGTGATACCTCACTCTGAGCCACCTTGGTATGGACAGTAGAAAACACCTCATATATGACCAACGTATCATTTGGTAGAAAAGAGAAAAACTCTTATAAGCTAGGTACAGTGGCACACACCTGTAGTCCCAGCTACTCAGGAGGACAACTTGAGCCCAGGAGTTCAAGGCTACAGTAACCTATGATGACAGAACTGCACTCTAGTCTGGGTTGACAAAGTGAGACCCTATTTCTAAATAACAAATAAATAAAAATAAAATGTTTTAGGTAACACCTCGTTCTATGAGATGTCTTCATGCCTGTGTACCTGAGCTTGCTCATGAATTAGAACAAGGCAGGGTCAGCCTAGAAGGTGCACTGCCCAAGGGAGGGAGGGATGTCAACACCCAGGCCTCGTCCCTGTCCTCACCAGCAAGAGGAAAACACACCCCATATGCTCACCTCCAGCAGCTGTTGACTTGGACCCAAGACACCACCACCCATTAAAGAGAAGGGGTTTTGTGGTAAAATCACAGAGCTAGGATGACACACCCTGGGGTCAATGCATGTCCTACTGTCCCCTGACAGGTGCCTCAGCCTGACCTTCCAAACAGCATCCATGCTGGGGCGTTTACCCCTTGGCAGATATTGGGGGAACCAGAGCAGGTAGCTGTGGCTATGGCCAGGCTTAGGCTGGCACCTGGTCGGCAGCTGGTAGGCTCCATAGAGAAGGCAGCACTTTGGCCCTACAGACCTTGCAAGGCTCAGGGATGGCCCATCAGTGCTCACCTAATAAACCCTCAAGGTCTTGGCTGACCCCCAGCAACCTCTAGTGCTTACCTAACAAATAGCTTCCCCCAAACCAGTCCTCAGGGCCCACACTTACCTTTTTTTTTTTTTTAAGAGACAAGGAGTCTCACTTTGTCACCCTTTGGTAGAGTGCCATGGCGCCAGCTCACAGCAACCTTCAGCTCTTGGGCTTAGGCAATTCTCTTGCCTCAGCCTCCTGAGTAGCTGGGACTACAGGTGTCCCATCACAATGCCCAGCTAAGGGGCCACACTTTCTACCACTGAAATAAAACAAACTTTAAGACCCCCATACACCTGACTGCACCAGTGGCTGTGAACTGCTTTTCTCAGAAAGAGGAAAGCCAGTTTACAGGCATTCTGCCAACATCTTGGCACCTCGAGGACAACCCATGTCCTCTTAACCTATAACCCTATTGTGCTAAAACTTGCCTTTCATGTGCCTCAGCCATACACATCTAAGAGCAAGGAGCCTGCTCTCCTGTCACCCCATGCATCCCTCCATTTCTTTCTTTTTTTTGAGACAGAGTTTCACTTTGTCACCCTTGATAGAGTGCTACCGCACTATCATAGCTCACAACAACCTCTAACTCTTTTTTTTTTTTTTGAGACAGAGCCTCAAGCTGTCCCCCTGGGTAGAGTGCCGTGGCATTACAGCTCACAGCAACCTCCAACTCTTGGGTTCAAGCAATTCTCTTGCCTCAGCCTCCCCAGTAGCTGGGACTATAGGCGCCTGCCACAACACCCGGTTATTTTTAAAAAAAAAAATTTTTTTTTTTTGCAGTTTTTTGGCCAGGGCTGGATTTGAACCCACCACCTCCGGTATATGGGGCCGGCGCCTTACTCCTTTGAGTCACAGCCACCAGCCAACACCTGGTTATTTTTGAGAGATGGGGGTGTCACTCTTGCTCAGGCTGGTCTCAAACCTGTGAGCTCAAACAATCCACCCGCCTTGGCCTCCCAAGTGCTAGGATTATAGGCGTGAGCCACAGCACCCGTCCCTGTACCTTCCATTTCTGGACAGCATCTCAGTTCCCCAGAGGGAAAGCAACACTTCCTACAGGGTGGGATCGGCACCCATAGCACAGTGGTTACAGAGCCAGCCACATACATTGAGGTTGGCAGGTTCAAACCCAGCCTGGGCCAGCTAAACAACAATAACAAACACAACAAAAAAAATAGCTCGGCATTGTGGCGGGTGCCTATAGTCCCAGCTACTTGGGAGGCTGAGGCAAGAGAATCGATTAAGCCCAAGAGTTTGAGGTTGCTGTGAGCTGTGAAGCTATGGCACTCTACCAAGGACGACATAGTGAGACTCTTTTCTCAAAAAAAAAAAAAAAAAAAAAAAAGAGTGTGGAGTAAGAGGCCAGGCTGCTCAGCTGTGTCCCGGGGGTGTGAGGCCTGTTGTGGCCACTGCCCCTCCCTGCACCTAGGCACCCCTTGGGCCACAGTGGATAAACTGAACAGCTAGCAGACAGGGAGTGGGGTCCCTCTTCCACAGGGTGACATGTTAGGACAGGACCCTCCCCCAACACCGCCGGCAGGCTTTCTGAGAGGCCATAAAGTCCTGAACAATACAACCTGTCAACAGAGCAGCCTGGATGTCCTGCCCCAGAGCCCCACTTAGCCTGGTGCAAGTCCAGCAGAGATGGGCAGGAAAATGCTCACTTAGGCCCAACTGCAGCTGCAGCACCAAAGAGAGGATGAATCTCTAAGTCCTGAGAAGCAAAAGCCAAGTGCACAGCACTGAAAGGAGGCTCAAGAGCTCCTTGTCTACCTACCTCTGGGTGCTGTTTTTTCTTAAGTTACTACAATAAAATGAACATTTCCAAAGTTAAACAGACATTTTTAACTTGAACAAACCCCTTGTAGGTTGTATACAGAATGTACAAGAAAAACTGACCACAGACTCATGGGGCCCAGGGCGGTGCTCATAGGGAGCCGCCTGCCATGAGACACCCAAAGATGTCAAACTCATATCCAATGCCTTGACCTCCTGAGTTCCTGGCCTCAAGAGGCTCTCACCAGGGTGCCCTGTCCCAAAGGTTAACATAGGTACAGCTGGCTATGGGAGGAGTTGGCCTTACACCTGTTGGCCCCAGGCCCCAGTTTCCTCACCTATAAATGGGGAGACAGGACAGGCAACTTCCCAGGGTGGTTGTGACTGATCCCCACTAAATGCCCAGAGCAGGCATGGCACTGGCTCTAACTACTATTCTTCAGACTGTCCACACACGCTAGTAACAAAATAAACCATTCAAAAAGGCAAGTACAAATAATAATTCACCTACCAGAAGTGTCTGTTTCTCTTTACAATCAAAGTGCTTTAATCTTCTCAGAGATACTGTGATCCTTGATGAAGTAGAAATTGGGGAGAGTTAACATGCAGTAACTTCACTTAATACACTTGAGACATGCTGCCCTTCCTCTGGCTGATTGAGTGGAGGGGTGCCACAGCCTCTACCAGCCCCCACAGCCTTAAAGACCCATTTCCATGCAGGGGGCACCATCCCAGACTGAGCAGAGATAGAACAATGGGTAAATAATTGACCAACTAACAAAATAGCCAAATTCACATGGAAGCAGGATGCTATCTTCACAATGCCTGCACACACCAAATTTTGCTATAATTTTGGGGAAACAGTGGATCCAATGAAAGTCTGGTTGGACTGCGTTTCAAAACCAGCAAATAAGGTTTTGAAAACTGAAGTGTTTGACCAGTTCCTTTAAATACAGCCTTAGTTTGGATTTTCCTTTCTGGCAAGTGAGAGATGGTCTGCAGCCCCATACCCCATCCCCTCTAAGAGCCACGAGGCTGCCACCTGGGGCCATCTGTAAGGAACAAAGAGCAACAGTCTTACCCCCTCCCCTTAGGATTCATGTCTCCTTCAATAAAAAGCACACTTGCTTTCTTATCCCTCCGCCTGACACTTTTGACCTGTTGGCAAATCCAACCAAAAAAAGTGTTAAAACAAAGAAGAGATCGTGGATTTTGATTGTTTTTCTGATATTATCTCATGTGGCTTTATGGTAAGCAGCAGAAACATACATAACAAGCAATACCACCAGATCCACGCAACCCTGGGCAGAATCCACAGCAATGGAATACCAAGAAACCACCCCAAGCTTGGTTGCACACATTGCTCTAAGTGCTTTTACTTCTGAGTAGAATCAGCTCATTTTGTTTTGGTTTTTTAATAAAAAGGAACACACCTACCACTGCGAGTTGACTCTTTATATAACTGCCTGACCAATTCTCCCAGTGGCTCAGCCGGGCAGGTTTTACTCTCTTTTTTTAAATGAATGAAGTGAACTCAGAAAGGGCCAGGAACAATCACAGGCCCCACAGGAGGGGACAAAGGATCCACACCAAGCTGACCTGACTCTGATCCAGCCCCTCCATGGCCTGGCTGTCTTGCCACCTGCCAGGGCTCCAAAGGAAAACAAAGCTATGGAGCACTTCAAGCCCTGAAGCCTGGGTCTCAGGTGAGGATGCCTGCTCTCACGCCCCAGGAACCTGTCACATGAGTGATATGTTAGCCTGGCAGCGACCCAGGAAACAGAAACAAGGAAAGGGCTGGAAAGTTGTAGGAAGGGAGGCTGAGTGGGTGTCCACTGGAAAGCAGATGCTGAAGGTAGACAGAAAAGCCTCCCAAACTCAGCCTCCCTCACCACCAGACAGGAGGTGCCTGGCTCTGCTATAAACGTTTTTAACCTACACATTGTTGGTTAACACTACACAAAGTTGAAGCCCATGTTTTCTTTTTCTTTTCTTTTTTTTTTTTTGAGACAGAGCCTCAAGCTGTCCCCCTGGGTAGAGTGCCGTGGCATTACAGCTCACAGCAACCTCCAACTCCTGGGCTTAAGCGAGTCTCCTGCCTCCGCCTCCCAAGTAGCTGGGACTACAGGCGCCCGCCACAACGCCCAGCTATTTTTTGGTTGCAGCCGTCATTGTTGTTTGGCGGGTCCGGGCTGGGGATTTGAACCCGCCACCTTAGGTGTACGTGGCTGGCGCCTTAGCCGGCTGAGCTATAGGCGCCGAGCCGAAGCCCATGTTTTCTATAACCAGAATCATACTCAAGGAGGTTGATGACTCCGGTGAGATAAAGACTCTTTAAAATAGCAAAAACATCTCATAATTACTGCAGGGCAGATGCCTTTTGGATTTAGACATCTTTGTCTCTAAACAAAATTAAAAAAACGACAGTTTAAACAATGAGAATCCTGCCTATGCCAGGGAAGGGAGCATCTTGCTTGCCGGACATGCAGACAGCACAGCCGAAAGGCCACCGACGTCTGAACTCACCACCATACTGGGAGCTGTGAAAGGATTCCAAACATAAATTTTTATCCATAGAACCCATCTCTGCCATAAAATCTAAATTAATGAGCTTTAATGGAGGGGGAAAGGTTGAAATGCACAGTATTTAAAATGAGCACATTGCTAACTTATTTTTCAGGCAGGTTTTTCTAAATCCACCTGGTAAAAATGTGACCTGTGTGCCTTACGCTATATTGTATCAAATGACCAAACTCCCTTTATTCAGGAAAATGTGTCTCTATAAATCTCTTTTTATAAACCCACCATTTTTATCCAGCGATAATAATGAAAATATTTGCTCAGATCAAATTATCAAGAATTGAGGATGAGTAGAATAAAAATGCATGGGATTTGACTAACTACTCTTAAAGATGGAGGAGATTGTTCTTACCACTGCTGGCCAGAAGGGGTATTTCTGGTATTTAAGCCAGACTAGCATTCCTACTTCAAACGAACGTGGTTCTAGAATTAAAAAGAAAAAAAGAAAAACAAAACATAGAATACACAAGTCAAATCCATAGCAAGCACCAAGCACAATAGCTTGAGAAAACACAATTATTGTGATATTGTTTAGAGTTGATTTTAACATAATTCATGTAAAAAATCAAGAGAATTTGAAAGGCATATTTATAACTCATGTCACTTAAATCTAACCAGCAACTATGAGATCATAAAGCAAAGCAACAATGGTTCAGAGTGTGGTGCAGTACTGGCTTTTTCAGCATGACAAACGTACTGTGGTGACAGGCAGGAAGCCATGAGGGCCAGGCAGGGATTCTCTGTCCTCTATGTGAAATCCTAAAACTCTAAAATTATTCCAAAATAAGACACAGTTAAAAAAAAAAAAAAAGTGTGAACTAAACAGAAATGAGGTAAGGTAATGTCACACAATAAAGATCCAAACATAAGAACTTAAATTTCTAAATTTGTAAGAGGCTTATCTGAGAAACTAGGGTTAAAAATGAGAAAAATTATTATTTAAATTAGAACTTCAAAACTATTTATGTATGAAATTTAACTACATTTCACCAACGGACACAATGTAAGGGTGTCAGCACACCCCTTGGGTGAAGGGCTCAACTACAACTCGGACTTCACCTAATGCAAACAATATAACCTAAAAATTTGTACCCTCATATTAATCTGAAAAAAAAATTTTAACTACATTTTCTATACCAAAAATACCCAAAATGAGTGAATTAAATTTAAAAAAAATCAAACAACAGAAACACCAGTAGAAAATGGAGGCTATTTTTATACACGCGGAACAAAGATGCTCAGCCTCACACTGTTGCAGAAGAAAGGAAATGCTGCAATATTTGACTACAAGGTCAATAAAGTCCGTAAGGTAAAAAAAAAAAAACAAATAAAAGGGGAGACAAACTGGGAAAGACTTTTGCTGCCAATATGACCAAGTGTTGGTTCCCACCTGGTAGAGGGCATTTAGTTTTCAAGAGAAATTTCAGAGCCCATGTGAACAAACAGCCAATTCAGAGGTCAGTTTGCAAATCCTCAAGATAGACATTCAGCCTGACAGGTAAAAAAAAAAAAACAAGTAAAAATGAGTTCAAGCTATCAACAGGATGAAAGACCAAACACCTGGGTTTTGTGAGGCCCTAGTGACCTGACCCTGGCTGGTGGCAGTTGAGGCGGAAGGGTCTCCAGGGAAGGCACAATGCCCTTCCTGTGGGAATCCCACTCTGGGAACCGATGCTGCAAAAATGATTTCTTAGAGTCCAAGGCCCTGCGGCACCCACTGTCCTAGAATAATTCAGACAGAAGCCCACGGATGGGGCAGAACTAGTGATAACTCAACACCCTTAGAAAACAATAACTGCCATGAAGAATGATTACAAGATCATGTGAAAAAGTAAACAAAGGATGGGTTAGCATTAAGTGGAAAAAAAAATGCAGAATTGTAATTAAGTTCATTCAATGATGGAAAAGCATTCAAAGCAGCTTAGACAAAAAAAGAACTACGTTAACAATATCGCTCTCACACACATGTGCACAGGAGCGCAAGTGGAGCAGGCAGCTTCCTGGCTGAGACTGCCTGCTCTTCAGTCCTATGGGGTGTTGCCATGGGAGAAGTGGGGTATGAGGTCCTCCAGGGTGCCTGCACTATTTCTGCAACAGCCCATGAATCTGTCCTTCTAAACTAAACTAGAAGGTGCTGTTTCTAATGTTTGGGTCTCATTTCTGATCCCTTCCACACAGATGTTCAGTGGCACCTAAAGGCAGATTTCCCTCTGGTGCAAACAGCTACGTGTGAAGACTCTCCCTGGACAGATGCCTGAATACCATCACCAAAGGTGGCCGATGGCAGCTGGGCCCGGGGGGCAGTGCTAGGCCACACCTCAGCGATGGCGACACAAGTCATCTTTTCACCAGCCATTCCTCCTTCCCACTGTGGGGACAGGAGGACAAGGCTTAAGGCAGAGCAGAGGAGAAGCGCCCTAACAGGGTGGGTTGGGCTATCTCTTCCTCGGAACCTGCTCCCCTTTGTGTGGCTTACTCTTTAGACAGAGGACAGAAAATCTGGCACGTCTGAAGGTCCCTTCCAGATCTCAGTTCGATAGGAGAAAAATTAAATAGCACGAAACCTTCAGTGACAGATGTCAGAGATGGTCTCAGAACACTAGCCCACGCTGCTTTTGAGTATATCATTACCACCAAAGGCTGCTCTGTGGTTACTTCTTACCGTGATATAAAAGGATTCTCGGTGGCTCCTCATCATCCTCGTCTTCGTCCAGGATGGAATTAATGGAATTAAACTCCATAGACTCCTCAGAAGACTGAAGGTCTGCCAACAATGTCATGTTAGACTTTCACTGTCATCATACCATCTTGATGACTCATCCCAAGAAAACATTCCGTGATACATGACCACCAATGCATAAAGCAAAGATTCCACACTGCCAAATTCAATAGGATGCACTTCAATTAAAGTACATTTTAAAGAAAAATACTAGACAGGGTAAGGAGAGAGGGAGAGAACACCTTTCGTGTTGTAAATGACAGAACGAGAGGCAGGCTAGAAGCAGCCACTATCTAAATCATAGAAAGCTGTGTGAATTCTGGGTGGGATTCCTTTTGTCCCATGATAGCTAACTCCTTAGTCTGCACCACTCTACGGTCAGACAGGTAGCGGACACCCCCAACCAAGAGTGAATCATGAACAGGGCAGGGTGTAGTTGGATCTTCAGAGAAAGTGAAAAGACACATACCAGTTTCCTTGTCATTATAGTTGTAGATCTCCCTAAAGACTGACATCTACGCTCGGCGCCTGTGGCTCGAGTGGCTAAGGTGCCAGCCACATACACCTAAGGTAGGGGGTTCAAATCCAGCCTGGGCCTGCCAAACAATGATGGCTGCAACCAAAAAATAGCGAGGTGGTGTGGCAGGCGCCTGTAGTCCCAGCTACTTGGGAGGCGGAGGCAGGAGACTCGCTTGAGCCCAGGAGTTGGAGGTTACTGTGAGCTATGCCACGGCACTCTACAGGGAGACAGCTTGAGGCTCTGTCTCAAAAAAAAAAGACTGACATCTAGGTAGTGAGTTTGTAGAGAACAGCTCTTAAGAGACAGCTGACCCCAGCAGTCACATTAACATTTTTAAACTAACATTTCAAAAATAAGAAGGATGCTACAATGCTAAAATGGAAAACAACGTGTAAGGTGGCAACCACACTAAAATATATCGACACAGGAATTCTTTTTTTTTTTTTTTTGAGACAGAGTCTCACTATGTCGCCCTTGGTAGAGTGCCATGGCATCACAGCTCACAGCAACCTCCAACTCTTAGGTTTAAGTGATTCTTAAGTCCCAGTAGCTGGGACTACAGGTACCTACCATAACACCCGGTTATTTTTTGTTGTTGTTATTTAGCTGGAGTGGGCAGGGTTTGAAACCATCAGCCCCTGTGCATGTGACTGGCACCCTATCCACTGAGTTATAGGCACCAGGCCAAGACCGAGCCAACAGAGGAATTCTTTTTTTTTGGAAACAGCTCACTATGTTGCCCTTGATAGGGTACCATGGTGTCACAGCTCACAGCAACCTCAAACTCTTGGGCTTAAGCAATTCTCTTGCCTCAGCCTCCCAAGGAGTTGGAACTACAGGCACTCGCCACAACGCCCGGCTATTTTTTTGTTGCAGTTGTTTAGCTGGCCTGGGCTAGGTTCAAACTCGCCACCCTTAGTATTATGTAGCTAACATCAGGACCACTGTGCTACAGGAGCCTAACCGACATGGGAATTCTTTGAAGAAGCCCTTGGGTGGCGCCTGTGGCTCAAAGGAGTAGGGCGCCAGCCCCATATAGCAGAAGTGGTGGGTTCAAACCCAGCCCTGGCCAAAAACTGAAAAAAAAAAAAAAAAAAAGTCAGAAGTGCATGGTTCAGCACCAGGAGCCCAGTGGTTAGGGCACCGGCCACATGCACAGGGCTGGTGGGTCAAAACCCAGCCAGGGCCTGCTAAACAGTAACTACAACAAGAAAAACAGCCAGGCACTGTGGCGGGTGCCTGTAATCCTAGCTACTGGGAGGCTGAGGCAACAGAGTAGCTTAAGCCCAAGAGTTGGAGATTGCTGTGAGATGTGATGCCATACCAAAAGCGACATAGTGAGACTCTGTCTCCAAAAAAAAAAAAAAAAAGTCAGGAGCCTTTAAAATAAGTTAATCACTTCTGAGATTCCTACCCACTCTAATAGGAATGCATCACTGCTCCTGCAAGAGTTAAGAGTTAATCCCTGGAGCCCAGACACAGCCGCACACTCCCCACTCCCTGTATTGCCAACAATCTGGCTCCACACTCCACCTTGGGCTCCCTGCCTCATTCCCTCCATTTCAGCACAAAAATAAAAACACAAATATTTAGAAGCTGAAGTAATTATAGCCCAGTGGGGAGACAAACAAAAAGGAATGAGGAAATCTCTGCTCTAACTCTATTTTGGTAATGATCTCATCAAGATCTGGTTAAAAATACACAAGTGCCTGCTCTGACTGTGGCCAAGGGAGAAACCAGGACTCCTCCCAGCATCTTGTCCTTCACTGATAAACTTTTACCTTCCTCAAGCTTCTTGGAATCTGGAAGATGAAGACTTCTCCTTTCATCTGTGGAAGCTTGTAGGGGAGGCGGGCCGAGCCTGGTGGTGCTGCGCAAAGTCATGCATTCCCTTGGCCCATGTCTGGGGGACAGCTCAGGCTCCGCAGCCCCTGTCTCCAGCTGCTTGGTGCATGGCCTCTTCACAGGGCATTCTCCAGCCTCTGAGTAGGCCAAGTGCACTGGGGCTGCGGGTATAGTGACACTGCCTGATGGCAAACCTGGATTCCATTCCCTGGCCCTGGCACATGGATCCTCCCCACTGACGCAGGTTGGCAAGAACAGGGTTGTACAGCTGCTTGCCTTTTTCTCACTCTCTTTTTCATAATCTGCTTCTGAAAGTGAAGGTACATTTTGGCACAAGCTGGACTTCTGTGCTGAATTTCTTCCCCTCTTACTTGCAATAGTATAATTTTCCCCATGCACTCTTGACCCGCTGCCATCCTGTGAACCATCGAAAGTTGAAGATACTGACAGGCCTCTTGGACGTGCACTTTTTCTGAGCTCTTTCTTGTGGTTCACTTTGTAGTTGGGGTCCTTTTCATAAGTGGACAAACCTGATGGGCTCTGTGGTGTACATTCCCTCCTCCCCTGAGGTCCAGTACAGTTAGAATCACAGAGCAAAGAGTTAGGCTCTACGGGCTGCTTCTCCCTCTGAGACAGAGCAGTTCCTTCTGTCCTTGAAGAGCCTTCTTGACTCACGCTGGTTCTCTCATTCAGAACATCCAGGGCCACCCGAAGTGACCGTCTGTAGGTCAATTCCTCCAGGGGTGCAGCAGGAACCTCATTCTGTGAGGCCGAAAGGACTGAAAATAAACATAGTAATGCCCAGTTAATGTCCAGATACACAGGCACTGCTATCACAGCACTGATTTTGGTCCCTAGTTTTTGACCCTAAATGAGTGAAAGGGAGACTAACATTTCTCACCTGCATTTCCCCCAAAAGGCGACAAGACTTCAAAATACCTTTTCATTCAGGACTTCAATTCTTCATTTTTCAAAAGACAACTTTACTGACCTTAACCTGATTGGCTAAAAAGATAAGTTCTTCTAAGTCACAAAACAATACTGTGAGCAAAATGTATTCAAATGTTTTGCAAATCCTCTCTCAGCCTTACAATTTCAAATTCAATCGGGGTCAATAAAAACCAATGCCAACTAAATAAAGAACCCTGCTGGAAATGTATTCTTGGTTTGAGGGGGAGGGTGGCAAGGAACAGCCGATTAAAAAGACTCATTGTGGGCTGGTAAATCTTCAATACTTCTCTGCAAGGGCATTTCAAGCCAGAAAAGAACATCGTGGGTCTTTAGTTTGCAGCCCAACCTCCCTGCCGCAATAGTTTTATTTATTCATTCCAACACACAGATATGGAGCTATTTATTTGAACAAGATGATGGATGCAATATCACAACTCAGCGGGCATAATACCTCAATCAACACAGTATTTTCAATGCTTAATATTAAGTGCACCCACAAATAACCAAACCCTCAACACAACCTGAGCGAACAAGAAAGATGCCATGTAAGATGATAGTCAGCCCAGCCTAAGATACACAGAAGGGCACCCGCTCTAAACAACAGCTGTTTCTCGGAAGGCACAGGAAAATAGATCTTATTTTATAAACATCATTGGGAGGAATTCTGGCCCATCTTTTCACAAGACAAACAATACTTCATGGATAAAATAAATACTCCCACTTTGAAAAGAGGAAAAAAAGTGCTATATCCAGGTTTGTTCAACTGGGACTAAGTGAGCATAGTTACTGCTATTCTGAGGGTGGGGGGTGACATGTCCCTGGCTTGGCTGGGCTTTAGCAGTCTAACCTATAAAATGTAAAGGGAGTGGAAGGCATAGAGTCACACTTCAGACCTGCCTAGTGCCCACTACAATAGCACCTGCAAGCAATGGGTAGCCACCAATTCCACTGCCACCAGCTCCTTCCTTGCACTCCACTCGGGAACTGCAAACACACAACCATTTGCTTCTCAAAGCTTGAGATGAGACCATACTGGACAGGCAGCAAGAGAATCACTTAAAAATCTTACTATAGGATGAGCAAAAAGGAAAAAACTATCCCCTACACACAGGGAAGCAAACTCATCCCACCTCTTGGGTACACTGGAGGCCATAGCTGCAAAGAGATGACCCTGATGCTCACATTGTCCATTCTCAGCGTCAAGAACAGGATTCGTTCTAGGGGCAAATACTGGAAAGGTTTAAGAAAGTAGATGCAGTTTCTTCTTCTCCTTTAGGTAAAGGGATTCATGTTCCCTTGTATGAAGAAAAACATGGTGTATACGGTAAATTTTTACCTACAAAACTAAGTCTTAACGTTCTGCCAAACTATTTTTATGAAAACCTAATGTTCACTTATAAAAACACTGCATAGAAATACGCCGTAAGCATAGAAATATGCTCTTACCTAATGAGGCAGCAATAGCTTCAATCTGAGACTTCTTTAGGACCTCAACTTCTGTACTTCTCACCTTAATTCTGCAAAGACAGAATCGACCATTATATACCACCAGCCAATGCCATCAACACATTTTCTTTTCTTTTTTTTTGAGACAGATTTAGTTTGTCACCCTCAGTAGAGTAACCTGGCATCATAGCTCACAGCAACCTCAAACTCTTGGACTTAAGCGAGTCTGCTGCCTCAGCCTCCGGAGTAGCTGGGACTATAGGTGCCCACCACAGTGCTCAGCTATTTTTTTGAGACAGGGTCTCACTCTTGCTCAGGCTGGTCTCCGAACCTGGGAGCTCAGGGCAATCCATGGCCTCGGCCTCCCAAGTACTAGGATTACATCAACACATTTTCAAACATGTTTTTCTTTAGATAACAATAGAAATTCATTTTCCTCCTCAACCTTCTGCTTAAACCAAATGTCACAGCCAACTAGGAATTCACCTGCCTGACGTCAGTGGCAGTAAGGACTCTGGCAAGTATGTTTTATTTCCCCCTTTTTAAGACAGAAAAGGTTAACTAAATTTAAGACTAAAAATGAATTCAAATTGTGACTTTTATGAGCCAAATCCTACTATCAACTGCACAAATAATTCCTTTGTTAAATTTTCAGAGTAGATGATAATGTCACTAAAAGCTGTTTACAGCCCAGCAGGTGTGTTTTAGTTTAAAAGGATGTGCTTCCCTTTTAAACTGGAGTATTCAATTACCTTCCCAGCCGCAGGGAAAGTGTGAGCTGGGGACCAAGCAAGCTTAGGAGGCAGCTCTGAAAACACTTGAGCAAAAGGAGTGGGGCACAGAAAAAGCTCTGCAAGGAAAAGTGACAAGGGAGCCTCAGCGAACCAACTAAGAGCTCTCTTCCAGACAAACTAATGGCTCTTTTCAGAACTGACGTCTGACATGCCCATACAACATTTTAATCACCATCATTCTAGATGATCTATACCTTCCAATCACTAGATTCAGAGCATGACAATAATGTGTTGTCTGATAATCTATTATTTGCCTTTTGAATGCTAAATAACTTGACAGGTTCAAAAATCCAAATATCTCAAAATTGATGAGCCTGTCACACAGGTTTCTGAAACAAAGACATACATGTCCCTGAGAAGGAAATATCCTTATTTTAACCCCAAAGGGAGTTTACCCTGTATATTATTTATATTTATTCAATTTTTGTACCCATCTCTCTGTAGCTCTCACAGAACATCTAATTTAGATCTTTAATTTCCAAACTGACATAAAATCAAATCAATTGTTGCCCTCATAAAGTTATTAGCACTAATGAGTTAAAATAACTAAACAGCTAATAAACCTTTAAGAGTGGATTTTGCTTTTGGCTTGGGGGGGAAGCTTAGTACCACAATTCTGCACAGGAAAAAAACAGTACTAAAAAAACGTAACACTTAACTTTTCCTCTAGGGAGAGTATTTGAACATCTAGAAAGAATTCTTTTTTTCTCTTATTTTTTGTTGAAGTCTCAGTTCTGGCCAAAACCTATGATTAAAAAAAAAAAAATTCTTGTTATTAAGATAAAAGTTGACAAAAACCGAAAAACAGCAGCAACATACAAACACAAATGTAGCGAGTAATTCTTAAGGTATATGACCACAAAATTTCAGAGACCTTCAGTTCAATCCCCTTCATTTCACAGATTGGGAAACTGAGACACAAGATAGACCAAGAGAAGAATCTAGGCTTTTGCCTTGCAGTTCAGCACTTTCTACTAAATTATTGGAAAGCATCCCTGAAATACTACCATTATTTACTATCACAGGGCTTCCTGCCAGATATTTCCTTGAGTTAGAGCCTTACATGCCTTTTTATAGCTGAGCCTGTTAAATTTTCTTTTTAGTGTGCAGGGGAAAAAAAAAGACACTTCCGGAGGAATAACCTTGTAAGCACTAGACCAAAACCCCCATTAAACGGGTAATGAGACTCCGTGCCAACTGTTCCAGCTCAATTATTTCACTAAAGTAACTCCTAGGTATCTCCTGATAAAGATTTTACTTGTCACTGAAAAGTCATTTCTAATTCCTAAAATTATAGAATAATGGCTGTCACCTTTGCAGGCCATAATCGCTTTTCCCATCTGCAGAGGACATACTTGGCATCCGCCATGGTTTAGACTCATGTGGCAAGTGGTAATGATTTGGCACAAAGTACTTGAAGGTCTGACGGCCGATGTGCCCTGCAACAAAATTTGGACGGTGCTTTATAAAATCATTTCTTGCCATGTTAACACAGACACAACCCTCAAGGGCAAAGGTTAGCTCAACGTAACCCGGAGTAGATAATTCAATTCTGTAATCTTGCATTGAGACGCTCCTTGCCAAAAAAGAAGGCTGACAGACAGAAATGACTGGCCTCGGTACCTAGGGAGGCGCCTGTATTTTTTTCATAAATAAAATACAGCAAAGTCCCTCCCAAAGGTTCTGTCTAGATTATTTTTAAAAGGCTCCTAAATAAATCATCTCCATGCTGAATGCCTGCTTATGACCTCAGCAGGAAAGACATTATAAACAAAGCTTACAACCCTCCCCTAATTGGGGAGTTAACACTTGACCACAGCAAGAAAAAATGAGAAGAAAATGACTGCTCTTTTGGCTGCCACGTCCCTGAAAAGACAGGGACAGCTGCAGACAGTTGGTTACATCGATGAGAAGAAATGGTTTGGCTGTTGACAGAAATGAAAAGGAGGTGGGGGGATACGGTTAACAGGAGCAGGAGGGGGAGTTGAGGCAGAATAGAAGGGTTCCCAGCAGAAGAGGGTGTCATCACAACAGGGAAGAGAGGTTTAAGGAAGAGGTGGGGGATTTCACAATGAGGGGTGTCCAGGAAACAGAGGAAAGAGGCACAGAAGCAGACTGGGTGGGGGGGTCAGGCAACAGGGATTTCATCATTAGGGAAGGTCTAAGTAACAGAAGAGGTCACAGCAGAAGAGGGAGGGGTTTAGGCAACAGGGACCAATGATTTCATCATGGGGGAGGGTTGCAGGCAACACAGTAGACGGTCACAGCAGAGATGGGAGTTTAGACCCCAGAGACAGAGAATTTCACCATGGGGGGGGGGTTCAGGCACAGAGGAGGAGGGTCACAGCATAAGTAGGGGTTCAGGCAGCAGCAGCAGGGGCGAACCCGGGATTTCACCATGGAAGTCCAGACAACAGAGACGGAGCTCACAGCAGAGCTGGGATTTCAAGCGGCAGGGACCGAGGATTCCACCATGGGAGGGGGCTCCAGGCAACAGAAGAGGGGGTCTCAGCAGCAGGGCTAGGAGTTCAAGCGGCAGAGACCGGAGGGTTCGCGGCCGAGTAGCAAGGGGACCTAGGGAGCGGGACGGGGGGTGCAGGCTGCGAAGGAGGGGCCGTCGCGTCCAGGCAGCCGAGGAGCCGTGTCAACGCCTGGGGCAGAAGGATCCGCGGCGGAGCCGCCCATCCCCCCAGGCTCGGCCTGGCCAGCCGCCTCAGCCCACGCAGGCTCCCCGAGGGCTGCAGCCCGGCTCACTCGGGCGCCCTGCCCTTCCCTAGCGCGATGCCCCGAGCCCGGGCGAGGTGGCCACGGCGGCCCCAACGGCGGAGGACCCGCC